CACACACACACACACACAAAGAGACTCACCTGCTGTCTGTCACTTTTCTTAAATGTCAAACATTAAGTTCCACCTACATTTCGACCTAAATTTCAGAGTGTGCAGGGGAAACTAATAGTTCATATGTCAGAACATCAACGGCAGAAAATGTTTGAGGCAAATCTAAACAGTAAATAATTGATTAATGACTCGAGACAAACATTTGAAGAAAAAGAGACTTTCGATTACTTCCTGGAGTGCTGGCTGAGAGCGCTGTGTGTTTGTGTGTGTGTGTGTGTGTGTGTGTGTGTGTGTGTGTGAGGGGTGGATGGTGTCTCTGTATTGTGAGACTAGTACAGGAGATAATTAGCTGTCAGAATGTATTACTGCTCTCAGCTGGAGCTGATAAACAGAGGAGAAGAGCTCTCACCTTACACAACCATACTCTATGTTCATACTGTGAACACACACAGGAGCTAGAATTAACACTTGCCAAGTGCCAAATATGAGCAAAATTTGGTGTTGACGTAAATAAAACATTACCAGTTGACTGGAAACTTTTTATGGTTTAAAGTGCCGTGTAAGAACCAGATTTAGAAGTTAACAAACCTAGATGCTTCCCAGCTAACAGGGAATGTTCTTAGATCTTTTGTTAACGGTCTATTTTTATATATATAATATATATATATTTTTTTTTTCTTCAATAATGTTAATGTAAGATTTGTTAACCAAAGATCACGCTAGAGTTATCTGGCTTTTGATAACATTCTTAAAATGTTAGCACAAAAACATTCAGACATTATGGATTTTTTTTTTTCTAAAACATTTTAGTAGGACATTCATCTAACATTTTTAAAATGTTATTATTTGTTTCAGAACATTCAGAAAACATTCAAAAGTAATGTTCCCATAATGTTTGCAAAATTATAAAATGGAATGTTTACTTAATTAATACATATAGACTAATTACAAATACTTGTTGATATTATTAAACAACATTGAATGGAAGAAAAAAAAGATTTAATAACATGAATGTTACAGAATAAACAAATAAATAAACACAAAAATTAAAAGTTTGGATTCAGTAAGATTTTGAATGTATTTGAAAGAAGGTTGCATTTATTTTGATCAATATTGTTAAATATTGTTACAATTTAAAATAAATGTTCTGTACTGTATGAAAGCTGGATTTTCAGCATCATTACTCCAGTCTTCAGTGTCACATGATCCTTTAAGAAATCAGTCTAATATGCTGATTTGCTGCTCAAGAAACATTTATTGTGCTGCTCCATATTTTTGAGGAAACTGCAGCACTCCCCAAGATTCTTTAATGAATAAAAACAACAGCATTTATTTGAAACAGAAGATCTTTTGCAACATTATAAATGCATTTACTGTCACCTTTGATCAATTTAATCCATCCTTGCTCAATAAAAGTATTAAATTATTTTACAAAAACCTATACTGACCCCAAACGTACTTCTCAAGTTTGTACTTTCTGTCATTTTCTCTTGTGTTATTGTCAGCGCTCTCATGTGATTGCCCATACATATCTGCTCATGTGCAGAGTCCAGCGCTGACGACTTTTGCCCACCGCAGCCTTCATCTGAGAAACACCCAACCTGATAATTATTAAACCCCTCAGCAGTCTTTCTATTCATGTCTATCTTTTTATCCAAATCTACCAGATTACTTTATTTCTCTCATAAAGGACTGTCACAACTGCTCTGTGAGTGTGATCAGTGTGAAGAACTGGAGAATCATTAAAGGATAGAGTCCAAGTTCAAACTTTGGAAGGTGGCTTGCATGTGATTTTATTGTATTATATTACACACGTTGTACTAGTATACACACTCGCACTATTGTTCTATCATGAGCTGATAAGGAAGGTTTTATGTGTTCATGCATGTATAAATCAAGCGTAGCGTTAGTTCTGGCAGGTCACGTTAGTCAAGCTCGCATCAGCTGACCTTCAGCTGATCCCCATCTACCTATGGGAATACTACACCTATCTAAGCATTCATATATAAGGTCCCTCAGTATTATCAGCAGTTTTCGCATTGCTCAATAGCTAATTACCCTCCTCCATCCCCAACTCCTCCTCTGTCAGTCGGGATTCAGCCTTCTGATTCTCCTTGAATCAGACTAATTCTAAAATGTGTACATAAAATGATTGAACTTTAACAATATCTGCAATACATTTATGTTAGTTCTGTTCTGTTTACCCTGGGGGGTTATTGCAGCTCTCCCTGCTCTCATCCATGCTAGGCTGCATGGAGGCGCAGGGAGTTCTTGCCCAGAACAGAACCATACCGCCAATCCAAACTGTATGCTAATTGTCAATCATCTTTGACGATAGTGGTCCTGACAGAATTAAGATTAAGAGCTGATATGAACAAGTTAGTCAAGTTTTTGTCAGAAAATAATAGAAGAATGTGGGCAGGAATCCAGTCGGAAATCGTCAATATACTGTTGTATTCATTTACACACTTGTTCCGTCGAACTGTTGTATAAACGCAATATCACTCTCGTACTCGAGGTATACCGGCTCTATATCAGTGACTGTGATTAGGCCAGAGGCACGAGGCCGCAGGCTGATATAGAGCCGGTATCGCTCTCGTACTCGAGCGATATTGCTCATATATATTTATATAATATAATATAATATAATATAATATAATATAATTTCTGTCAATATGGGGTGCTGTGTGTACATTAATGAGGAAAAAAAATTAACTTAAATGATTTTAGCAAATGGCTGCAATATAACAAAGAGTGAGAAATTTAAGGGGGTCTGAATACTTTCCGTACCCCCACTGTATATATATATATATATATATATATGACGATTTCCAGCAGGATTATATATATATATATAATTACAACAGGATATATATATAGGAGATAGGATGCAGTCTCCTCATCTCCCATTATTCTTCACTGCAGTCTCCGCTCTCATAGAGTTTGGCTGGATTTTGGCACAGCTCTCAGTTTCACTTTTGTTCCGCATCCATTTTCCCACTGCTGGCTCCAAATATATTCTCTCACACGTTGGACCTGAAGCTCCAATCCAATTCTGGTACCTGAAAGTAGAACTGGCAATTCAATCCTGAGGTATTGATTCCTTGAGTTGGGACCGGTTCTCAGCTGTGATAGCTGCTCACGTTGCTCTTAACCTGATATGTCTGCGGGCGTACAGGCACATCTGGAGAAACTGCTATGCTAGCTCATTGTGGCTAATTGTGCTAGTGCTAGAGAAAGCATGATGCTGTCAGCACCAGCGCTGACTCTAGTGGTATCATCACAGCCAAGTAGTTTTCAGTGAGCGGTTATATCTGAGAGATCGCTTCAGTTTTGAGTGCTAAAACATAGAATCTACGGGTCGAGTTCAGACGAATCTCATCACGCGGTGCTTTGCTGTAGCACTGATAGCTCCAAATGGTAACCTTTCAGAGTAAACAAGAGGATATGAATTTGGCGACTAGATTGAACTCTGGTCATATTCTCAAAGAAACAGCTAAGAGTCCATCGACAATTCATCTACATTGCAAAAATGATATTTTCGTCATCAGTATTTTTGTCTTATATCTTTAAGTACAAATTTCATGCACATTCACAAATCAAGATGCATATACTTGAGAAGCAAAATGACATAAGATAAGTCTTGTTTTGTGAAAAATGTATTGAAATTAAGTGACTTTATGCTTAAAACAAGAAGTATCTCTGCAAAAAAAATGTTCCCTTTAAATTAAGGAATATATATTACTTTAATTACTTTTCTCAAACCTCTCTCATTTTTAATTAATTAATTAATATATTGATTTAATTAGTTATTTACTTATTTATTATTATTATTATTAGTAGTAGTATTGTATTCTTCCTTTTGATGTTGTATAAAATATACCTAAATTATATTATTTGAAATATTTCTTTAGGTTTTAGGTATTATGTTTGTTATTATTGCTTGATATAAATATGTGAATAGAAGTGTAATTTCTTTTTGGAGATGTAGAAGCACCCAATTATGTACTTTTTGGTTATTGTTTCTGTGTATGTGTTTTTATTTTATAGATTGGTGGTGTATATTATTATCACAAATAAACAAACAAACAAATAAATAAATAAATAAATAAATAAATAAATAAATAAATATAAAAAAAATTAAATAAAAGGAGAAGAAAAAGTGAACAATTGTTGAGGAACAAAATATTATGTCTTTATAAAATAAATGTTTATTTATATAATGTGTTGAATAAATTGAATGGAAAGACATAATAAAGTATGCAGAAATAAATTGAGCTTATTTTTCTGACCCCACTCACAGATATGTCCTTGTTTTAATCATAAAGTCACTTGATTGTTCAGAAAACAAGATTCGATATCTTTTGCTCCTTAAGTATTATATTTGTACTTGGGGGGGTGGGGGGAGTTCATGCAGAAAGTTCAACACACCTTCAAAAAGGCCTTTTTTGTCCCTCACTCGCCCATCTTTTCAGGTCAAAGGCCAATCCTCAGATCGTAAAACAATCAAACTTAATAAAGTCTTAAAGAGGCTCATAAATGGCACGTGTATAGTTGCTTCATTAAAATGTACTTATTAGTCTGCGAATAATTGTATGTCTCTAAGCTCTCATTCAACACATCACTGAAAGGAAATCACACATTTCCAGCTTAAATCTGAGCGTCTCATGAAACCAGTCTTGTCTAATTGCTTCTTTGAAGCATTTTGAAAGAGTTCATGCAATATTTTTGGAACAGAAAATATCTTGCAAAAATGATTTTTATTTATCACAGATGTGGAGCTAAAGACTTCCAGCAACAACTCGGTTATTTGACAGCTAAATCCAGCGCGGAGGATTGTAACATGTCCCGATGATAAAGTTGCCAGTAATATAATTTCAGGTGGATAAGATCACTCTTACAACATGAAGACAGGAGAAATGCTTCATCATGCCTTACATAGACAGACAGCACGGCATGAAGAACATCTGGTTCAGCCATCGTCTGTGAATGATTCCTGAATGGACACTTGTCTCAAGGAGCGCTGCTTCATGACCTTTGGTAAACCACGATGCGACGCAAAGCTGTAAAACACAAACACACCCACTCAGGACTTTAATTTCACTGCTACATAAAAGCTCTGTCCAGCTCTGAACCTCTTTAGTGTGCTCTGACTTCAACTTCAACACAGGACTGAAAAAGAAAGAAAATAACAACAGTGAAGGTAGGACAAATACAATTTTAAATAAATAAATGGTATGTGTTTTTTTATTTAAAAAAATGCTAAATATTTGTGCATTTTTATGTTTTGTATTATTTTTATGTTTATATATTTTTTATTTGCATTAAGAATTTGCCTATGCAGTATATATTTAATATAATATAATTAATTTAATATAATATAAGATGTCAGTGTATAACTGTTGTAGCTTAAATGCAGTCATGTTTGTCACTGTAAAAAGATTATTTTTGTTATCTTGACATGTTTATGACTCTTAATAAGGCATTTGCTGCACATTCAAATGTTCAGCTGTTTAGCAAGTTGAGAACGCTTTGCAAACATTTTATCTCGATAGGACTGTTTCACCCCACAAGTTGCCATGAAAATGAAAAACAATCAATTTAACGTTGAAGGACTGAAATTAAATTGAGACTGTTTGATCCAAAAGAACAATTATGTACCTTTTCTGCTTTGTCATGCGAGTCTGTTCAAGCGAACAATCATTTTCTAAATATTCTAAAATCAGGTGTTTTGTTGAAAAAAGATGGAAGACAGTATAAAGTGTAGATGATGGTATTCTCTGGCTGAAAACAAACTGAGAACAGATGTTACTGATGCGGCATGAAGTACCTCTTTTTTGAATTAAACAGAAGAAAATAGAGAAGAAACATACAAAGCATGAACACTGGACAACATGCAGAATTGAAAGGAATAACGAGCATGTTTTAGACTGTTTTGTCCTTTTATAGTTGTTGATATTGTTGGATGTTTCATGCCTTTAACCCTTTCATGGTGAGAAATATGTCTAATAAAACATATTACAGAAAAGGTTAACTCAGTGACAGTGAAACAAAATATGGCAAAAGTGAAAAATCTTTTGAACATTAACATGTGCATTTCATACACAGACTCAAGGACATGTACTATGTATGTCAAAAATGTGCAGGGAGATGAATTATAGGATGCTTATGGTTGTGTGTGTGTTGATCAGATGGGAAAGCGGCACTTCTCAGGGCTGGAGGTGTCCCTGATGGTGCTGTTTGCATTGGTGCTGGTGGTCGCTGTCGCAATGGTTGTTTTATTGGCCACTGGGGAACCAGGGACGATGAAAGAAGGTAGGTGATCAGACGCCAATAATTACCCTAATAACAGCTACACACACTCATACAGAGACACAAACACACATGTATAATCTGTGCAGGGATAAAACACGTCTGGTTATTAGAAACACCTGGCAAGACCAATAGGCTATGATTTTTGCAGGTATTTCTTTGTAAATTAGTTTTATTTGGAAGTTAGAAAAAAATATAATAAAAGTTCAAAATACAGTTCAAAAATTATTTTCTAATGTAGTATTTTTGTAATTTTCCAGTACAAATACCTAAGCATTCATAAATCAATATACATTTACTTAAGAAGCAAAATATATTAATACTTCAGATATTAAGTGTTTTCTGAAAAACGTGTTGAACATTAGTGAGTTTTTGCTTAAAAACAGTATTTCTAGTAAATAGTAAAGTGCAAACTTATACAATTGTATTTATTATTTTTATATTTATAAAAAAATAATTAGCAAGGATGCATTGAGTAGATTAAAAGTGAAACTGAAGACTTTTAAATTTTAAATTAAAAAAATATATATTTGAGGTAAGAAAAATAATCTTGTATTTATTTAGCATTTTGAATTTTTCAGATATTTCTTCTTTTTTTAAAAATATACTCACTTAATTCTGATACATTTTTCAGAAAACAAGACCTAATTTCTTGAGTCATCTTGCTTCTCAAGGAAATATATATTGATAGAAGAATGTTTAGATATGTGTACTGGAAAACATGACGAAAAATAATAATGAATTAGAAATAAATTTTTACAGTGTAGAAGTTCTTTAGAAGACAAAAATATCATCATATACAATATATTACAGTACATATA